AACTATATATATATATATATATATATATATATTTTTAAAATATAAATAGGCTAACGTGCATTCAAACATTAGCTGACGGATAGAAAGTTTGATACCAATTAACAGTCAGCTTTCCACGCGTTGTATCTAACACATACTGCCCGCTTTACCGTCCAGCCTATTATGTAAAATTGTTTTAATAATTATTACGTTACTTTACCCTTTGTTTTTATTAGATGTGGCGAGGCCAATTTAGTCAGGTGGAACACCGCCCTCACGTTAACATCCATGGTGATATCAAATATTTCCATTGTACTTCTTTCAAGATTTCTGAGTTTAGCGATGCCAGCGTTGTTTACCTTCACAATAAAAACAGCAATGTATTGAGACGCTTTAAAATAGTGCACTTATTGTGTTTAATTGAAAAAAAAAATTTAGGTTATTTAAATTTGTTTCGAGACGTTATACAACCAATTATGACCTCAACCCCAACCCCCACCCACCCATTACTAAAAAAAAAACAACAAAAAAAAAAAAACCAAAAAGATTCATACAAACCAGAGGTGGTCTACCCGACAGCTTAATGCCCTTCATTCTGCCCATCTCATTTATTTGCTGGTTCCGCCACACTACAAGTAATAGTTTATTACAGGACCTCAATTGGCTACGGAACTTTGGCTGCCCTTCCCCCAGCACGACAGAGGCCGCAATTAAACGTGAACCCTGGTAGTGAATCAGACAGTAAGCAACACACACCGGGCTGCTCTGGTATACAAATTCTATTTTATGTCAACAAACGTAATATATATGGTATATAAACAGACAAACAGATACACCTCTGGTGCCACGATTGTAAACTTCTTATAGGTCTCAAAAAAGTAAGCAACCCCCCATTATCTCCACGTTTTTAAACAAAAAAAAATTGTATCTCTCATCCGTTTCCGATTAATTATTCACACACTCCATTAGTGTTTTAGAAAATTCATTTAAACAACAACAACAACAACAACAACAACAACAACAAATTTTTTTTAGCCTGGCCTTAAAGTTAGGATTGGAGTGCGCCCTCATTAATCATAACGTTTTACCGGCTAAATATCCACAGCCTTAATGTTAATTAGTTGATTTGAATGCAAGCGTTTGTTTTCAGGCAAATCATGGGAACTCTACCACATCCCACTTTCACAATCACATCTCCAACTGCATCAGTCATCCAAGGAGAACAGGTCAGGGGGTCTACGAAAATGATCAACAGTGCCCAACTCAATTGAATAGTGTTGGAAAGAAAGGACAATTTATCATTTGCTAAAATGAACAATTGGCCAAGCGATAGACAAGTGCTATAAATTAATTAATTCATTCAGAAAGGTTTTACATATAGGCCTAGCCCATCCATGATTTATTGTACATGCAAAGTGACACGCAGAGGTGCTACAAGCAAGCTTAATTGCACTGCTTTATGTTGATGTGAAAAAATGTTCTTCGGATTGATTAAGAACATACCAGTAGCTACATTTTACAATGTTTCTAGTTAGATATTTTAGATATACGATAATATAAATAAAACTTCGAAATAAGAGATAAAAGCCACCTTGATACAATGTCTTAAATGCGATGTTCGCCGAATTGTCATAAGAAAATATTTATTTCTTTGTCTTAAGAATTAATTATTTGCAAGTGATTCGGGTGAAAATCGAGGCCTACAGATACCAGACTAGTTATCTAGAGGTCGTGGGTTCGATTCTCACGTGAATCCATTGCGATTTATGTGTTACACGATTTTTAAAATTGTGTTTGGGGAGTAGGCTTACAGGCAAATTTAGTGCGAATATAGGTTTTGGTATTTATATCACTGACGGGGGTGTTTTCTCATACGAAAGTGAGTATCATATGATATACCTAGGCCTATATATATGTATATATGTGTATATATATCATGTATATGTATGTATAATAAATATATATAAAATATATATAGAACAGTTTATGTATATATATATATATATATATAGGCCTATATATATGTATGTGTGTGTGGTGTGTGTGTGTGTATACTTATATACACATCTAGTTAAAAAAGATTTTAAACTAATGACACTTGACCAATGACTGGATTTGGAAAATGAAAATTTAACCTACAAGCTACGATGCAATATGTTTATAATATTCGTAGTTACTAGCATAATTCTGAAATTTATTTATCTAATCATCTAAAGGGCGTGTATATATTATATTTAGGGCCTATTCTTTATTGGGAAACGACACTTTTACAACAGTGGCATTCGTACGTAACGGTGCGTCCAAAGAAAAACAAATCCAAGCAAATCAAAACGTAAAACATAAGGCAAATGAAAGAAAAATAAAGTAAAATTAAACAGAGAAAACTAAACAACAAGCAAATGAAGTAGAAAAAGATATTGTTCTTAATCAATTACATTTTATGGATTATTATCAAATAACATACACAATGAATCTAAAAATCACTTATCTCTTTATACACTAATTTGTCTATTTAATAATTTATATATTTTCTTTCACTTGAATGAATTGATCATTTTGTGATAACTCTTTTTCGGCCTTGAGTGAGCTACTGAGAATAGGCAGGCCTATATTATGGAATATCAACCAGCAATTGATTGGTTGATTGGTTGATAGATTGTAAGTTTTTACCATATGATTAACGCTTATAAATTTTATAAATAAGATGTCTTTAGTTACCAGAACGTCAAGCCGGCCGAACCGTTCGACGGTCTCGAGCACAATCCTCTCTAGGTCAGCGTCACTGCTCATCTCACCAGTTTGCAGCAGAATCTGTAAAATACATATCATCATATATATAATAATGATTATAATAAATATAATAATATTATTGATAATAATAATAATAATAATAGTAATAATTATATGAATAATAATAATAATGATAATAGTAATAGTAATAACAATAATAATAATAATAATAATAATGATAATAGTAATAGTAATAGTAATAGTAATAATATTATTAATGATAATAGTCATAATAACAATAATATCGATAATAATAATAATAATAATAATAATAATGATAATAATAATAATAATAACAATAAAACAAACATGATGAATTAAAAGTATAGCCGCGTTAGTCTGTACAGTATAGAATGTATAAAGTAAAAAACAGCAGCACTTTTGAGACTAACAATATATGATTTATTCTCTAGCTTTCGTCCACACAGTGGACATTATCAGGAGACTTCACAGTCTAGAATTTTACCTGATCTGCCTGCAGTCCCCATTGCTGACAGTCTTTCCCAACGCCATTCAGCCTTTCTTCATTCCTACCAGTTAGCGACAAGTAACAGCCTAACGATGCAAAGTGTCGAGCTACGGCTGCTCCTATCCCAGAACTTGCCCCTTGTGGATAAATAATGAATCATGCCAGAAATATTATCACCATTGTCAGTTACGGTATTTCAATCGCAATTGTCTAGTTAGGACCTAGCTAGCCGATCCAAACCAGTAAAGTATTTAAGCATTTATTCGTAGACTAGAACAGGCCCGATTAGTAATACTGTATTGGACTGGGATACATAACTTAATCTACATTAATATATATATATATATATATATATATATATATA